TGTGTTTTAACACACTTGAGCTGTGTTTTAACACACCTGAGCTGTGTTTTAACACACCTGTGTGTTTTAACACACTTGAGCTGTGTTTTAACACACCTGAGCTGTGTTTTAACACACCTGTGTGTTTTAACACACTTGAGCTGTGTTTTAACACACCTGTGCTGTGTTTTAACACACCTGAGCTGCATTTTAACACACCTGTGTTGCGTTTTAGCACACCTGTGTTGCGTTTTAACACACCTGTGTGTGTGTTTTAACACACCTGAGCTGTGTTTTAACACACCTGAGCTGTGTTTTAACACACCTGAGCTGTGTTTTAACACACCTGTGCTGTGTTTTAACACACCTGTGTTGTGTTTTAACACACCTGTGTGTGTTTTAACACACCTGAGCTGTGTTTTAACACACCTGTGTGTGCTAAAACACAGCTGTGTGTGTTTTAACACACCTGTGCTGTGTTTTCACACACCTGAGCTGTGTTTTAACACACCTGTGCTGTGTTTTAACACACCTGTGTTGTGTTTTAACACACCTGAGCTGTGTTTTCACACACCTGAGCTGTGTTTTAACACACCTGTGCTGTGTTTTAACACACCTGTGTTGTGTTTTAACACACCTGAGCTGTGTTTTCACACACCTGAGCTGTGTTTTAACACACCTGTGTGTGTTAAAACACATCTGTGTTGTGTTTTAACACACCTGTGCTGTGTTTTAACACACCTGAGCTGTGTTTTAACACACCTGAGCTGTGTTTTAACACACCTGAGCTGTGTTTTAACACATCTGTGTTGTGTTTAACACACCTGTACTGTGTTTTAACACACCTGTGCTGTGCGGAGTCTCTCTTCAGGTGGATCTCCCTCTGACTGCAGTTTCTGGTGTCGCTCTCTGATCCAGGACTCGGTGGTTTTACTCTGAGAATCTAAATCCTCTGAGAGACTTTGGAGCTCAGCTTGTCTGGTGGCCTGCAGGACGGTTCTCCACAGCTGCTGGGAACAGGAAACCAGCTGTTCCACATCCTGTCTCCTGTCCTCCCTCAGGTTCTCACACAGGTGCTCAGCCTGCAGCTTCAGGTGGAGCAGCTGAGCTTCTCCTTCAGGTTCAGACAGCAGGACCTCCTGGAYGCAGGAGACGTAGAAACACTTTAAAGTCCAACGTTGTCCCAACACAAAGGATGCAGACTGACCTTCTGACTCACCTGGATTATCTGAAACCTGTCTTCAAACTGCATCTGAGAACTAAGAGCCAACAGTTTTTGCTTCTGCTCCTTGATCCAAGACTTGAAGACCTGATTCTGGTTTCTGACAGTGTCGAAGTCTCTCTCAGAGGCTGCCTGGGTCTCTGCCTGGTTCAGAACCTCCTCAGCAGTCTGGAAGACCTCCCACCACTGCTCCTCTGTGTGTCTGACAGCATCCAGGACCTCCTGCCTCCTGCTGTCCTTCAGCTCCTGGTGTTCTCTCAGACTCTGACCCTGGTCCTTCAGATCCTGAAGCCTGGACTCTCCATCAGACCTGCAGCTCAGAACAGTCTGAACAAAGAGAGGTGGACTCTCTAAAAGCTGTTTCTGCACATTAAACCTGAGAGAAGTCTGGAACACACCTGTATGACCTGCAGCTTCTCTTCCACCTGCATGTGGTCACCTAGAGATGCCAGGACCTCATTCTGGTCTCTGATCCAGGACTCAACACTTTGATTCTGGCTCTGGAAACCATCAAACTGTTTGTTTAGTAGAACCTGAGTCTCAGCCTTACAGAGAGCGTCCTCTGCAGCCTGCAGGAGCGTCCTCCACTCCATCTCTGTGTCTTTGAGGAGCAGCTGGACTTCCTGTGTCTCGTTGTCCTGCAGCTGGTCCTGCAGCTGGTCCTGCAGCTGGTCCTGCAGCTGGTCCTGCAGCTGGTCCTGCTCACACAGATGCTTCACTTCAGCTCTCAGGTTCTCCAGCTTGGACTGGCCCTCAGCTCTGGACTTCAGGACAGTCTGTTGGGGAGGAAAAGGGTGATGTTTGGTCAGCAGGAGAAAGGTTGTAACATGTTGGACTGTTCTGCTGTTCCTGAACTTGTTCCACTGACCTGAGCTGCGTCCTTCATCTCCTCCATGTCAGAGTGTGAAACAGCAGAGCCAAGTGATTCTGACAGGTCCCTGATCCAGGTCCTGGTTCTGTCAGCCTGAGCTTTACAGCTGCTGTGGTCTTCCTGCAGGACTCTGCGGGCCTGGACCTGCCCYCTCAGACGGCTCTCCAGGTTTCTGATCCGCTGTAACAGGTTGTCTCCATCCTTCAGGATGTTTTCAGCTCGAACTCCTTGTCGACGTATCGAAGCTAAGAGCTGACAGAGAGCCTCAGCTCGACCGCTGAGAGAACAACAGGAAATCACAACATGCTGATTGCAGACGGACACAAAAACATCTAGAAGAAGTTCTGGAGATGGCTGACTCAGCTAACGGACCTTAGAGAGTCATCTGCAGAACTTCCCCTGAACACCAAGACCGCACTAGGTTCTGGTTGGATTCTCTGCTGTGCCAGRTGCCAGGTGGGCATTCCTTCAAAGAATGCTGTGTTTCCATTTATTAAAAACACAATCAGGAGAACATCTTTCTGTTTGACTCTGAGTCCACCAGAAGAGCGTGGAGGGGGAGGGGCTTAATGAACATCAAAAAGAAAAAATCAGTAAATCCTCTGGATGGTTCTTCTTTGGTGAAACGTTTCGTCTCTCCTTCAAGAGACTTCTTCAGTCTGAGAG